TAACATTTTTAAAGTTGAAATATTTCAGGATAATATCAATAATAATATAATTTTCAATTAACTTTTACAAATATATATAGTTTAAAGAATTTTATCTTGCAAATGCAAAATTTTAAGAGCTGACTCTGATTTTGGTTTGAGCATTTGCGTTTTATTTATCAAGCATAGATATTATTTTGGAAGATCTTTATTTTGCGTAGAAACATATCCTTCAGAACTGATAAAGGCATATATTTTTTCTCTGTTCTTCATTCCAATACGTTTTGGAGTATCTCCTCCTCTAAGACGTTTCCCAACCGCAACAAAAACTGTATCAGTTGTTTCTTTCTAGAACCAAACAATTTTGAAAAATTAAGAACTTTATCAAATAATGATAAGGTACAATAAATATCTTTCAAAAGCAAAGTTCAATAATTTTACTAATCTCACTGAAATGATCTACACTTTCACAATCAGGTATACAGAATATAGACACAAATAAAATGAGATATTTTTGAAAACTTGATTTTTTTCTTTGTGGTTAGGTAAGTGGTTATTTTTTGTATTTTACACTTTGAGTGTTATTTTCAAACGTACAACCTAAAAAATTTGTAATAAGAAATTTCAATTTTGTGTTTTTGGTATGATAACCATTAAACATATTATCAAGCATTATCTGTTTTTTTCAATACTAACTTTAATTTTAAATCGAATTATGAACATTCATGAATTGTGATATTTCATGAACTTATATCTTGAAATATATCAGAAAAATTAAACAAATAAATATTTTATCTATATTTTAAGTAGATACATAATAATATTATTATAATAATAGGGTTATTAATTTATATTATTTTAAATATGTATTATATTATAAATAATTATTGAATGATTTTCAGTTAGACATTAAATATTTAAATATAAATATTTTGATATGGATTTTAAAATTCTATGTGTATTGAGTAGGTAGTTAATAAAAATTTTAAAAAAATCAGAGAGTGAATGCTCCTTAAATATCAATAGTGAAACATTTTATAGAACATACCAATATCTGCAACAACGGGAAAATTAAAATTAATTTTATGTAATTGAAAATAACTTTCATTGATAATTTAACAATTAATATTAATATTAATAAAGATTATAAAATATCAACAGTTGAAATTGGTCAACCTAAAAGAAAAATATGTAAGCATGTACCTACAATCTACATAGTCACATTTTTAACATACAAAGATATATGGATTTAATAGGTACATACAATACAACTGAGTTATCAAACTGTATAACAATTGCGTTAAAATGATACTATAAGCAATCTTAGCTATTAGAGTACACTTACTGTTAAACGAAAATAGGCATTGAATAATGTTTGTAAACGAGATTCCCGACGTATTGTCATGCTGAACCTTTTACTAAGATTGGGAGTATGCATTATCACTGTTATCATTCGATTATTTCCACAATTGAAATTTACATTGTTTAGAATGTCTTCACTTAGACACTGAGAAAAAACACAATCATTAAAAATAATTTAAAAAAAAATATATTTAAATTTATAAACATATTTATTTATGCAAACAAAAAAATAATTATTAAATCAGCATTTAAATATCTTATATGGGCTTTTATTTGAGAGCTTAAATATCAATGTACAATTGATATGGTTAAATAATGTAATAATTTACATAATCCAACAAATAAATGCTGATTTATAGAATTTTTTTATCATATCCAATTAATAAAAACTGCATGATTTGATTCTATTGATAGAAAATACAAATTTGAAATTAGGTCAGTACTGAATTATATTATATTTAGAAATATATTATATGTTTATCTCACACGGATTCTTTATAAAATTTGATGTAATCTACTGTTTCTAATATTGTACCTATTTTCTTTTGGAGAGTTGCTTAAAAAATAAAATTTATTGTAAATAATTCTTCCTAAGGTATCTTAGAAATTATATATGAATATATAAACTCTTAAAACTAATTCATAACAATAAATAATAAAGTAATTAACTGTTGAATGTACCAACTTGAGGACAGTTTTAAAATTATATTAAAACTTGTAAATAACATTAAAATTAATTAATTAAATTTAATCACATTTTTTTTTTTTTTTGTTAACATTTTGTATATTCATTTCTGTTACAATTAAGTCATAAAAGTTATTTCTTCTTTACTATTTTTATTTTTCCACTTGCCTCATGTAATACTGAATATTGTCAACACGGGGGCATTGATATTTTTCTTATGAAATACATAGTTTTTAACAAATAATAGTCTATTTTCTTAGATTAATAAATATATTTTGTAACTGTTAAATATGTAATTCTAAAAATAATTCTTGTTTAATTATAATAATTGACAACAACTTTATAAAATAAAAAATTATACCTATGGTGCCTCATGTTGGACTAAAAATGTAAAACTTAATTTACAGAAATGTATCCAGGGTTATCATAGTTTATATCAGGGTGAACCAACTTTCTATAGTCAATAGGTGGGTCAATTTACAAAATTGCTATAAACACCGTGGATTGAGGGGCGTCAAAATATAACAAAAAAATGGAAATATTTTTTTTTAATTTTATTTAATATTATTTTAAATATTAAATATTTTTATTTAATATTATTTTAAATATTAAATATTTTTATTTTATTTTATTTAACAAAATGTTATAACACTACAGATTAACATTAATTTAATATAGTTGATTATTATTATAATTATTATTAGTTGGCTATATGACCGACCACGGCGCCGTCTTCCATCGTCTTACTGTAGTATTTTAATATAACTCAACTACACATTATTAAGTCTTCTAAGAAGAGCTAAAAAACTCCCTTAAGAAGAAGTTATACTCACAGGTGTTGTCTCCGTCTTATAAGCGCGTAGCATAATGTTAAGTCCAGCAGATCATGTTTAGCTCCGTTAACTTATAAATTAGAGTAAATTGACCTCTTATAAAATGTAAAGGTAAAAGTATTGTTTGGACGACCTCGTAGGATTTTTACTATATTTTAATTTTGAAGAGAGTAATAAGTAATGAAAAATTGAAAAATTTTTGTATATCTTAAAATACTTATAAATTATAACGTTATAACTCACTTAAAAATTAAAATATAGCAATAAGCCCATTAATTAATTAAATGATAAGAGACTGTTTGGAGTTAAAATGATAAGGTATTATCATTTCACTACGAAATAAACGGTAGGTAATATAATCAATAATAATGTACTGTTTGTGATTTGTGAATGACTTGACGGTCTCTATGTTGCATAATTTATTGACAACAACAATATACAACTGTTATCGCTCTGTTTGGAAACCTAGATATTGATTTTCTAAACACTTGACTAGTTTGTATTTGTAGTCTAAAGCACTTGGCAGTTTATCAACATTCATGGACAAGAAAATCCCACCCCTTATTAGCCCTTACAATAACCTTTGTTTATAATACACCTAACAATATAATAAACATTAAGATTTTGTCTCGGCTCTTCTTACACTGTCTGTAGCTCATTACTCAAGACTTCGTTTACCTATAGAACCTGTTATTTCAAAGCTATTAGTATAAATTCAACTAAGATGTTTAAATTTAGACATTGATAATTATAATTTATTGATGGACCAAGCAAGTATATACAACTCTGAAATGTAAAACAGGTTAGGTTAGGTTAGATTAGGAAAATTTGAATAATAATTTTCAGATTAAAATATTTATAATGGAATATAATAAAAATATTCCATAAAATTACTATACTATTATACATACTAAACATCTAGGTGCGCCGAACATTTTTCGCAATCCTCTGTATGTGTTGTTTTGTGAGTAAATTTCCTCGAAAATTCCCGGTTCAATCTCCGTTCTAGAAACTAATGGCAAATTACGTGGCATTACCTGGGATGGTTGAGCATTCAGACTATTGCGTGGTAGTTCACATATCGGTTGCAATCGGTCTGCATTCATCAGTAGCTCGTGACATTCATTGAATGGTCGGTGATGTCTCAACGGTAGTTGTTGGCGTTCTATCGCTAGTAGCTGTTGGCGTATTCTTACCGGTACCCGTTGTCTAACATCATTGAACGTCCAGTCTTGGTTTCTAATGGTTAAGTGGAAATGTGGAGTTTTGTATCGGATTAGACCGGGATTCGTGGCGTTTCTTCTTCTTGAGTTTAATGGTGGATGATGTGGCCTTGCCTGAGGTGGTTGATCGTCCAAACCATTCCGTTGGCGTTCATTTATCGATAACCGTGAATTGAGATAATTTAGCAACAACTGTCGGTGTTGCTGCATC